CCTATCTTCTAGAGATGATATCTATCTATGTCCAATGTACAATAAAAAGTCTTGAAAAAGATGTGCACCATTTTGAAAATACCCTGAGAAAAGCGTAAACGTTTTGGGAGGAGCTTTTCAAAAGTCACTGGAAATCCTTATGTTGTTCTACATAAACAAAAAATAGAAAACATTTACATGTTTTGATAAGGCAACCCATTCTAGATTTCAATCGTGATTCATGATCAATCTAAACGTGTCTTCTGTAATGTACATTCAAAAATTCATATATACCTCTTTCTTTTAACAGGTACAAACTTTCCGAGCATCCTGTACAATATATACGCGACGGTAATTTAACCACGTCACCTCCCTTGAAATTTTGAAACTTAACCTAGAAAATGCTTGTAAATAAATTATTGTCAATTACACCAAAGCACTTTGTAAAATATGTTTGTGCATCGAAATTCTGCACAGATCCAAGCCAGGACGTTATAAATATGGCCTTTGCCTCATACGAGAGCACCTTAACCTATCCCGTGGATCCACCGACTCCTCTCGTAGTAATGCACGGACTACTCGGCTCCAAGGCGAACTGGAACAGCCTCTGCAAAGCTTTCCATCGACACACCAATCCCAAGCGGAAAATAATAGCGGTGGACGCGAGAAATCACGGCGACAGTCCGCACTGCAACTCGCACACGTATCCTCATTTGGCCGAAGATATAAAGCTGTTGTACGCGCAGCAAAAAATCAAACGCTCGTGTTTGCTCGGACACTCGATGGGAGGACGCGCGATGATGTACTTTGCCTTGAAATATGTACGGTACGCGCACGAACGTTTCTTACAAACGCTTTAGCCGAACTTTGTAGATAAACTAATAATCGGCGACGTGTCGCCAATTACGTCAAGCCCGAATTTGAGATCGATGCCGACACTTTTCAGCGCTATTCAGAAAGTTCAACTGCCGTCCCATATACCGATGTCCTCGGCTCGTTTAAACGCCGACATACAGTTAGCGAAAAATATCAGCGATAGGGGCTTGAGAGCGTTCCTCCTCACAAATCTGATACAGAAGACCGACGGAAGGTGCGTATTTCACGCTGGTTCATTTTTAGCGAGTCAATTTCAGTTTTATGTGGAGAGTAAATATACCGGCGTTACTCAGTAATTTCTACGATCACATAGCGTCATTTCCTATACCTGCCGAGTGCAAATTTACTGGTCCGGTCTTGTTTGTCGCGGGAGGAGTATCCGATTTCATACAGTAAGTGGATGACGACACGTTCAAGTGACATATTCCTTTTATGTTAGGAAAACGGATCATTCCCAAATTTTAAATCTATTTCCGAATGCGGAGTTTCAAGTGATTGAAGGTGCCGGACACTGGCTCCATAGTGAAAAACCAAACGAATTTTTACAGATTTGTATAGAGTTCCTGAATAGGAACACGGTAGCGAATGAGAAGAAGTAGGAAAATTGAAATGTACATAATTTATTAGCCAAATATGTTTAATAAATTAGTTTGGAAATTGGTGTCATCCTAGTTTATGAGGCATAGCGAGACGTATAATACAGTTACTCGCCACGAGAGTACGCCACATACCAGTCGGTTTACTGTGACTACAATACGCATGAAAATTGTCGAGTACATTTTGGGGCGAATAGTTCTTGAATACGGCCCTGACCGTTAATTGCGTCCAAAAATTGTGTTAAAGGAAAAATTAATCTGATTCAGATCACTGATCAGCGTCCGTGAAAGGTAACAGGGAGAATTAAGCGTTAAGCCGTCGGATTTGCGGTCAGAAATAATCAACAGAGAAAGAATTACGCGTGGGGCCGTAAAGGCAACAAGGCGCGATCATAAATTAAAACAAGTCGGATTTTGTGTGAAAAATTGAATGCGCCCGCGGGAGAGAGTCGTTGAAACCGCGATAAAAAACGCTGTTAGTGTAAGTGAACCATTCCTGATTTTGAACTGCTCGAAGCGGGATCGCGCAATCGAAAATTTCAGTCGAGCAGATAAAAAATCACCGTAAGTGGTTTTTGGACCAAGAAGAGAACTTTGATAAATAGGTTGTGCCAGGCATTTTTCGGCGTTGGATCCCGCGATCAAAGCTTATCAAGTAAATTCCATGCGAGTTTCTATAATACACTTGAGAGGTTCCACCCTGTATATACAATTTATGACGATGCACACATTTTTGAGAGTTGGCAACCACGCAATTTTTAAGAGGGGAAAGCGATTTGCACCATCGAGCACGAACGTGGAGTTACCTTTGGCATCTTGTCTTGAATGGTGGTCGTGAACGCGTCGCTCCATAAATGTTTGTTGTTATTTAATGCAGGTAGTAATTTTTTTTTCTTTATATCGTATTTGTGTTTTGTGTGCCGCATTTTATATTTGTTGTGTGTTTCAATCTTTGTTTTTGAAATTGACTTGGTTTAACCGCTATGCAGAGTGACATGTTTAATACCGTTATCCTTTTGTTTGTAATCGTTTACGTTTTTGGTGTAATGTTTGATTAATTTATGTTTGTGTTGATTACTTGGTCTTGTCCGAGAAGTAATAGTCATATAAATTTTGATTATTTTATTTTAATATGTAGAAATTACAGAGTTGTTTGTTGTATCTACTGACTTGTTGTTTGTAACTAACATTTTCTGAAGCAGTCATGGGGGTGGTAAAAACTGTAATCAAATTGAGTTACGACACCTAATTCCGTGATTGTCTTTGACATTCAACCGTAGGCTCGAAACCCCGAACGAGGGGCGAAATTACCTATCTTGCGGGGGTGAGATTATGCTAATCAAAACTCTTCAGTTTAGAATCTATGTGTAACAAATGAGCTCCGACTCCATATATTTCTGCCGATAGCGGAATTTGCCTACAAGTCCATGTAATTTTCCATCTTGCTTTTAACAAAAGAACTTTATTGCACCAAAGATGAGTCACATCTTGTACTCTTAACTTTTTCTCAGAATTTAGGTACCTACTTACCTGCCCCATTGTTCCCAAAATTTGTTTTTAACCTTTTGAGTGTAACCAACATTGTGTATATGGATTTACTAGAGTACCTACGACATCCTTTTGACTTTGCTTATATTAAATAATGTCAATCGACTAATTTCCGGGTTTTCCACAATCTATATAATAATAACGATCATTATTAAACAACAATTTCTGGTGTTTTTATTTATTTCCTTCTCTAAAGTAGGTCTTCAGGTCATAATAGCATTGCTTACAATTAACGTAAGGGGGCCCTGCCTTAGATGTTTGATCACGTGCCTTTTTTCAAATGCAAAGCTGGCAACCGCGAGACCCCATCTCGAGATCACTATAACGGGATCTTATCGAATCAACTTTTGCCATGAATACATTGTGCAGTTTAAGTTTGTTGTTAATTAATGCAGGTAGTAATCTTTACATTTCTACAAAACTTTATATTTTTGATAAATTTTTGTTTTTCAAATTGAATTAATTTAACCCCAATGTAGAATCACGTATTTGATACCGTTAACTTTTATTGTTTTTGTAATAGGTTAATTTTTTGCTTTAAATGTTTGCTAAATTCATGTTTATGTTTCGATTTTTTTGGCCCCCAAATACATTTTTTTAATGCGGAAATTATTGAATTGTTTGCGTTTGAATGGGTGTAGGTTGTGTACGCGAATTTGTTGTTTGTCCAACTAATAATTTTTGCCTTAATGAGACAGTGACTGAGGTGGTAAATAACTGTAACCATTTTAGTTACGTTAACCTAAATGCCGGAACTGACTCGAATTGCAACTAATACGGTGGAAAATGTTGCATGAGAGCCGTTCCTTGAATCTCGTCTTTATATTATTTTATTAAGTATTTATGTATGTATTCATGAGACGGGAGATTATTTAGTATGATATATTGCCTTGTAGATGTCGATTAACAATTTATACCGTGGGGAAAAGCACCTATAAATACAGTCGATTCTGTGCTGTATCTAAATTTCCTTCTCCCTAACAATCACATTTTAAAGGGCGATTGTTGGCGGAACATCTCCTCCACACGCAACTTACATCATTGATGGCCCATTGCATTTATGTCACTCTTGCCATTAACTGGCACAGTACAGATTTAATGCATTTTACCAGCGTCTATCCGATGCTGGCGTTACGCGCACAATATGTACAGGGCCAGTAGACTATATCCTTAAATTATAACCACAATTGGTCAGATGCAGTAGGTTGCCACAACCTTACCGCCAATGCCATCCACGACTATGTATAGCTCAGTGGTAGAGCGTTTTCGAACCTGAGGTATTATCGAATCTCGTTGGCATCTTCTATGAGCACTTTTTTTCGAAGAATCTTAATCTGTTATCAGAATTTCCATAACACACTAGATGTAGAAGTTACATGCTACTATTACTATTATAGGTACTACTTTCTTATGGACGCCATATTGGATTTTTACGGAATGAGATAGAGGACAAAAATGGACCAAAAGACATATTGATTGAAGAATATCTAGTTACCCGTGGATGTTTTATTGAGAAATTAATGTAAAACTTTTGATTTTGAAATTTTTCTTATAAATTTATGAGGCAAGTCATTATTTTTCTTTTTGTCCTCTCTCATTCCGTTAAAATCCAATATGGCGTCCATATGAAAGTATAGTAGCCTTCTACATTTAGCGTGTTATGGAAATTCTGATAACACACCCAGATTCCCCAAAAAAAATGCCGATAGAAGATAGTAAACAGACGAATTTCCACGGTGATAGCTCAATATTATTTTCAAAAGCGTTTTTCTTTGTCACAAAAACAGGTAATTTTGCCCCCATTAACCTACACTGTATCTTCTACAGTTACCAAGATCTCAATTGTGAGCCATCGTGTACGAAACCTTTCCAATTGCAATTTTTTTACTTATCTACAGGATTTTAAGACCATGTATAATTTGCTGTGCAGATTTATTTTCTTCTTCAAAGTTTTTATCTGTTTCTGTTTTTATTTTTCTTATCTCTCTTGTCTCTTTCGAATAGGATTCAGTATCTTTTATTTACTGTACAATTACAAGAATTTTAGGAATTGCATACAAAAATTAAACTTACTAAATAATTTCCTAATTACAATTATAAAACATTTTTAGACTTGCTTTCTATTTTAACATGTATAAAAATATGTACAAAAAGAAATGCGTATAATACTTATAAAAGAGAAAGCTAATGAGAGGTTGCTAATAATATCGAGAAAAGCAATTTTAAAAAACACACACACACATTCAAAATAGAAAGCAAATTTAAAAAAACATTAACAGCATCTTTTTTTGCCCTGCTTATTACTCTTCCTTAAATTAACGACATCGTTCTGCGTAACATTCTGTCGCTCTTTCATTTCTAACTTCGCTCGTAAAACTAACCTAGTAACGTTTATAAACATTTCCTCAACGTTTATGTTATCTTTGGCTGACGTTTCGAATAACTGTATACCCATCGTGTCTGCGAATCGCTTCGCATCCTCCGTTAGGACTACTTTACGATCCGGACAGTCATTTTTATTTCCCACTAGAAAACTAACCGTGTTAGACTTGCGACGCGATAACCACAATACTACCTAAGATCCGGTTGACGACGTCACAATTCTGTTCGATTTCGTGCAGCCATCGTTTGACGTTTGCGAACGACTCACCATTCGTCACGTCGTACACAACGATTACACCGTGCGTTCCTCGATAGTACGTGCTCGTGATCGTCCGAAACCGCTCCTGGCCTGCCGTGTCCCAAATTTGTAATTTAATACGCTGACCGTCTATTGTTACGGTGCGTATCTTAAAATCGACACCTATCGTCGTAATGTAACTACCGGAGAAGGTGTTGTCGGCAAATCGAAGTAGAAGCGAACTTTTTCCGACTCCTTCAATTGAATTGAGCGGTTAAAGAGGAAGCGGGTACCACCTACCACTTACCGCTATCGCCAATGATGAGCAATTTGAATAAGTGATCATAATCCCGTGCCATTTTTTACCTCAATACGCCCCCCAAACTTTTCACTGGACCACGCCGAATCATTAACAATACTTTCTTACAGAAGTCAATTACATTAATTAATCAATTTCTGTTAATTTAAAGCAAATAATAATGTTATTAATCCAGCAAAGCAATAAATATTCATTATTAAACTTCATGTGTGACGTACATTTTGGGCGAAAGCGGCGTTGCCAATAATCACAATTCCGCCATAATTGCATCAGTCGTTACATACATGGTGCTTCGGTAATTGAATTGATAACTATCAATCAATCAATCAAAAGACATTTATTTACATTTTATGGATGATACAGTAATTGGGTTAGTGGTAAATGAATGGTCGACTGGTTGCCTAGTACAATCCCACACAAAAATGCAAAATACTGAAATGTCACGCAGAACTCCAGCGCTAAAATTTAAAAAAATAAATGAGAGTGTCACCTCCCAATATGCGTCACTCAAAATGACTTCAAAAGGCCACATTCACCATAAGCCGAATTGCTAACTATTTTATTTATGAAGGCATTTTAATATAATTTTATACTATTAGAATAAAAGCAAATCGAAAACCACGTAATTCCAACGTTTATTATGCTTTATTTTTTTTATTTTGTTAATACATTGGCATTACAATATTCCTCAAAAACAGAATTGATGACGTGTGCGCAAACCATTGAACTGGATACTATCGTAATTGGAATGGCATCGCCCACAAACAACTGTTGCCAGGGCGCCGTGACGAGAGAGATTGCTCAAACCATTGATTATACACACAACCAATGCTCAAAATTCAAGGCTTCTACTAATACAAAGTTTTGAACGCAGCCTTATTGATGTTAAAATTGAACGCAACCTCATAATTGACAGTTGGTGTAACGAGCAACATCGCAATCGGCCATTTTAAATTCCTTCAATCAAAAATAATGAGAGAAAGCAGAAAGTTAAATTAAAATTAATAACAATGAGCGTTGTAAGTGAACAGTGTAAAAAGTTACCGAATAAACTACTAGAAACGATAGCAAATAAAAAAGTAATAACACCGGAAGATGTATTACGAATACCCTACATAACGGACACTTACTTATGCTCACCGGACGCGAATATCTTCGAAATAGACTTTACCAAATTCAAAATACGCGATCTCGAAAGCGGCGCCGTCTTATTCGAAATTGCCAAACCCGCTTCGTCCGAGAACGCAGACGACAATACCGATAAAGCTGACGGCGAGGAGGCGATCGATCCTAACGCCGGCAGATTCGTTCGTTACCAGTTCACCCCGCAGTTCTTAAAATTGAAAATGGTTGGGGCCACGTAAGCATTTTTTTTTTACATTTCCATCTGTAACTGTTAACTCTTCTAGTGTCGAATTTACTGTCGGAAGTCGACCGGTCAATAGGTTTCGCATGATCGAGCGCCACTTTTTTAGGGACAAACTTTTGAAAACGTTCGACTTCGAGTTCGGGTTTTGTATACCGTACTCGAAGAACACCTGCGAGCATATTTACGAATTTCCCAGCCTGCCCCCCGATTTAGGTAACGATTGCGGGTGACTTAAATATCGTTTAAACTACAATAATTCTTTGTAGTAAATGAAATGATTGCGTCGCCCTTCGAGACACGTTCGGATAGTTTCTACTTCGTCGACGATTGCCTCATCATGCATAACAAGGCGGATTATGCGTACAACGGGGGAATTTCTACATAATGTTGTAACGCAGGGTTATTAGCCGTATAGCTAGCTTATTTTACGCACACGAATCAATCCTTTATGTGGTGCACGTACACGGACACACATCACTGGTTGGTACTTCTGTCACGATCGCAATTGTGTGTACATTTCGTTTAATTACGCATACAGGGTGCTCTCACTACTTTATTGTTACACCTTTACAAGCTTTGGCTTAATGATGTATGTACGGTAGAAATTCCTACACGGATGAATTATTGCTGATTTCTGTTACGGTGTCGGTGCAACAGTTGTAATAAATTTACGGAAATAAAATGCATTTTTGCAATTGTGTTTATGTAAAGTTCTGGTTTTCATTCAATTCTCAAGGTGGGGTACCATTAGCCCCCCAGATCTCGATAAGCAGTTGTGGAGGAGAGAGATACTTTGTAGAATTCGACTCCTTTCAGTGGGACCTTGTTTTGGGTAGTTTGTCATGTGTGTGTGTGTTTATGAACCCTGTAAATTTTGAGTCTCTTGGAATTTTGGCAAGCCGAATGTTTATTTGTAAAATAAAATTTTTTAAAAGTATTTACGATTAAGTGAGTTGACAGTGTGGACAAGCGGTGACAGGAGAATTTTTCGTTTTCTAATAAACTCCCGCTTTGAAAAGATTTGAGTGTTTGAAAAATGTTACATTGGTGTCATAAGTGGGATTTAATTAGTAACAAGAATCATGATAAAATTAATGGAATTGAAGATTACCGAACTTTGGGAAAGATCCCTTGATATGCGAGGTGTGGAGAGTGTTCTTCAAAAGTGATTTGAAGCTGCGCTGATTGAGGATATGTTCAATCCCTCGGAGTATTCCTTGAATTGGAAAATCTCGGGCAAATGTCTAGCAAAATCGAAGAGAAGAATTTGTGATAATCTCACA